CACACACACACACACACACACACACACACACACACACACATATATATATATATATATATATATGCCGCGCGCACAGCTTCCCTTCTCTCTAACCTAATCGATTCTTCAATAAAGGGGTGTCAAGAAAACGGGGTGGACCGCCGCCGCCGCCGGACGACCACGTGAGCATATTGATAAATGGCGAGAGAGACGGAGAGACTGGCCGCCGCCGTTGCCACCGGCTTTTTGCTCGTCCGCACACACACACACACACACAACTCCCGGCCGTATATATATGCATATTATATACATACATAAACGTGTACGTATATACATATATATACATACACGAACGAACGTTTCGCCGCCGGACCTCGGACCGCCGCCGCCCCACGCCGCACTGGCCGCCGCTCCTTCCAGTCATTCTCCACCACCTCCTCCTCCTCCTCTTCTTCCTACTCCTCCGTGTCCTAAGCCCAAGCCGGCCGGCTGTCCGCCCGCTAGGCCCACAATCGCCGCCACCGCATGCCACCGCACGCCACCGACTCCGCGCGCGACCGTCGCTACGCGCTACCGCCGCCGCCGCCGCCGCTGCTGCTGCTACTATACCCTCACCGAGCTAATTATTCAAACTTAAGCGTGTGGACTTTAACGGCACCCTCCCCCGAACGACTCGCTCGCTGCTCGGATATTCACCTACAAGATCCGATCAATACCCATTCTTTTGTCACTGAAAACCCCGCGCCGCCGGAACAAACGCCGCAAATATTACACTGTAATAATATGTGTGTGCGTTGTTGTTATATTATGCGCGTATAACGTGTATGTGTACGTAAAACTGACTTTGCGGACATTCGCGCGACTTCTTTGTTTTTCCACTATACACACACACACACACACACACACACACATACACCTACAATTCAGAGTTTACTTAGCGACCGCGTTAAACGTAAAATCCTATTTATACTGCAATTGTGCGTTTGAGACGCGTACCCGGAGTTCATACTCCTCTGACCGTAACCTAATAAGAGTGGACGAACGGAGGGAACCACGCCGAATTTTCGATACGGCTCAACGCCTAATATTTTGCATTTCGAATCGACCGTCGCGGCGGCAAATAAAGTATAGAAATCGCAAAAAAAAAAAACACCTAAACAGAAAAAAATAAAAAAAAAATACGTACGCGCCGTAGACATTTTGCGGCGAGTGTTGCGTACACTCGTATACGGACGCTATTCGGACGATGCGTGCGGCGGCAAATTCCGTCGTCGTTTTCGCCGGATAAACATCGAAACGGCGCGCGAATGAAAGGAAAACAATACGCGCGGACCGGAAACGAAAGAGAGATGACCCCGCGGGCCACGATGAGACAATGTGCGGTGCGCCGCGCTTATATATTTCGGTCCGTCTAGACAGTTTTTGAAAACTTTGAGCGTTGCGGGGCGGCGGGCGGCCGGGTCGGGTGGCGAGGACGGATAAAAGGCACGATTTAGTTTCGGGTACAGTTTTAAAGATGAAACGGTATACGCGAGTGTAAGTACGGCGGCGGCGGCGGAGCGCGGGACGGGAGAGGGCGAAAAGCTATCCCGGAAAATAGAGGTGTCCGACCGCTACCGCTGCCGCCGCCGCGTCCCGTTTCCGGCGTGCAGCCGATCGCGTCCGGAAGAAACATTGCGCGCACCTCTCCTTTTTTTTTTTTCTTTTTTTTTTTTCAATTTCCCGTTGTGTCCGACTGCGCCCCGTAAATTACCGTATATTATTATGTTGTGACGCGGAGTTCGACACGCGGAGCGCGGGCGGATGGAAACGATTCGACCGTTCGAGAATAACCGTCGTCGGCCGGAAGCCGCGATATCATTATCACCCTGTACGTACACACAAGTATTGTAAGGAAGACGGCTACAGGCGGCGTGCCCGGCGACTACCTGTTCGCCGCCACCGGTGCAAACGATTTGTTTCAGTTAAGAAAAAAAAAAAAAAAAACAAAAAAAACAAAAAGGAATAGGAAAGGGAAAATATAACAAAGTTACCTTCTTAATGACAGCTACCCTCGAAGCTTTACAGTCCCGACGACTAACCCTTATCCCTCCCTACCCCTCGAAAGTCGCGTCCGCCACCGCCGTCGTCGTATCAGCGGCGGCGGCACGCTTATATTCCTTTCTCGCAATTGTTTCCCCGAGAAAATTCGTTTATTTTTTTTCCTTTCTACGGTCGCCTTTAATCTGCTGTTGTCGTTTTGTTTTCATGTATACAATCATACAATACTCATTATTAATACACTCGTATTATCAAACCCCCCCCCCGCTTAAAAGAAAAAAATAGTTTTAGAAAAATCGATTGGTTTTTTTTTTTTTTAATGCTTTGTCGTCGTCGTTTACACGTTTGTTCTCTGTAGCCGCCGTCTTATTAACAACAGACTATACGGCCGCGGGGCGACGACGGCTTTTGAGAACGGACGTTAAATCGCCGGTATTCGGAGTTGCATAGTTTCCTTATACACGTCACGACGACAGCGACGCGTATTATCTTCTATTTTTCCACGAAATCCGATTATGAAACAACGGGACGAGAACCGCGACACGTCCAATGTCACCATCTCGCGCGTTATATTGTTATTATTTTTTTATTTTTTTTTTTTTTTATACTGTATGGTCGATATCACGCTCTCCGCGCGCGTGTATAAAAATATTATTTTTTTTTTTTTTTTCCTGCACCGAGCAAAATCTCCCTTCGGACACACCGCTGCACATACTCGCGCGCACACTTACGCATGCAAAAGACAAAAGTTAGGGATCGGACCGCGCGCGCGAGTGTGTGCACGCCGCCCGCTGTACACGCACACGTATGTGTGTATGCATATTATATACGTATACTCGCACGAGCATATATTATTATACGTACGTATACATATAAAGTATATACACGGGCGCACACACGCTC